TTGTCACACCCAAATGCACCTCTGCTTTCTTATCTCATGCCACAGCTCTGTCTCACCTGCCCCTGCAGAACCTCGCTCAGATCACCTGCAGGACCTCATCTAGGCCCTTGAAACAGAAACATTCTACCCCTGAAGAAATGCAACCATGAGGACACGGCTGTCCTGTCATGCAGGGTCTGAATGCTTAGAACATTGATCTGGTCTCTTGGAGACCCATTTTGAACACTTCCTGAATGGCCTGAATCCACATTCCGGGCAAGTGCATTCATCCCTAGGATATAAGAGACTCTGTGCAAGAGAAGTGCTTACTGGTTCCCATGTGCAACCCTGGATGTTTCATTGGAACCAGAACAGGAGCTCAGATGCTTCTGAGGGAGTGCCCTATCATAAAGCAGTAATATCTGTCTCATGTTCTCCTTCTTTCTCTGGCCCACTGAATAAAGGATTGCTCCATGCCACACGGAACAGCTTTACAAAAGGAATCTGTGAAAGCCATTCCCTTCCCAGAACACCCCAAACCTGGCTAGTGACCTGTACACAAATACACGGGCACAGTCAAGGAACTGTGATTGGAATAATACGGACTTGGTGGGATAGCTGATATGACTAGAGCACTATCATGGATGGGTACAAACTGCTCCAGAAGGACAGACAGGGGAGAAGAGGAGGAGGAGTTGCGCTGTATGTAAAAGAGCTTTATGATTGCTCAGAGCTCTAGTATGAAACTGGAGACAGGCCTGTTGAAAGTCTCTGGGTTAAAGTTAGAAGGGAGAGTAAAAAGGGTGATGCTGTGGTGGAGGTCTTCTATAGACCACCAGACCACGGGGAGGGTGAATGAGGCTTTCTTCACACAACTAGTGGAAATGTTTGGATTAGACTCTGGAGTTCTCTGGGGGGGGTTCAATTACCCTGACATCTGCTGACAGGGGAATACAGCAGTGTGCACCCAATCTAGCAAGTTCTGGAGAGAGTTGGAGAAATATCCCTGGTGCAAGTGTTGGGGAGACCAACTAGATACTCCTGACAAACAGTGAAAAATCAGTGGGGGATGTGAAAATGGACTACAACTTGGGCAGCAGTGACCATGAGATGATTGATTTTAGGATCCTGAGGAAAGGAAAAAAGGAAAAAAGTAGAATATGGAACCTGTAATTTTGGAAGGCAGACTTTGATTCTCTCATGAAACTGATGGGCAGGATCCCCTTGGAATCCAGTCTGAGGGGTAAGGGATTCTAGGAGAGCTGGCTGTAGTTTAAAGAAACTGTAGTGAGGGTGCAGGAACAAACCAACCTAATGTGTAGGAAGACTAGCAGGTATAGCAGAAGACCAGTGTGGATTAGCAGGGAACCAATGAATAAAATAAATCACAAAATGGAAGGTTACAAGAAGTGGAAACTTGGGCAAATGAAAAGGGAACAGTATAAAAGTATTGGTCTGACATGCAGTGAAGCAATCCTGAACGTCAAAGTTCAGATGAAGTTGCAGCTTGAAGGGGCATGAAGGGGAACAAGGAGAGTTTCCACAAGTATGTTGGTAAGAAGAGGAAGTTCTAGCATAAGAGCTCAGCAGGGAGACATTCTTCCCCTGCTGGCTGGTGATGCAGTGAGTGCCACCTCCAGCTCCGGGAGTGGGACATTAAATGGTTCAAAATAAAAATAAAAAAGGAAATAGGTGCAGGTGGAGTGAGGAAGACGGCACTCATTCCATCTGCACGTGGAATTTGGGGAACCCCAGCAGCAGGAGGTTGATCTTGAGGTCACCAACTGCTCCACCAAACCAGGATCCAAGCAGGTGAGGTGGGGTGGCACAGCATCCCAGCAATGCTGAATGCCCTTTTGCTCAGAACACTGGTTGGTCAACAGGACAGGTGTTCCTAGGCAACTGTGGCCAGATCCTGCTACATGTAGCTGTGGCTTGCCCAGTAGGCTGAGGGATCACAGGCCAGCGGCTCCAAATCCTCATTGAGATAGGTAGCCACTGAGGCCATGGTGCTACCTGCCTTATCCTGGGATCTGGTGCTGGGATCTGGACTCCAACATGAAAGCCATGCTGTTGGCCCGCATTGGCAGTGCCTGTGGTGCATGAGGAGACTGGCTGGTTGATGGAGTGCTGGTACATTACAGTGGAAACCCCTCTTCCATGTCCCCCTGTATCTGCCCTTCTTTCTCCCTGACCCTATTCACCAGCACTTCTGTCCAATGATCGAGGGCTTTGCTGGTGCACATGGTCCCCTTCATCCTCGGGTCACATATGGCTGACAGCACATGGACCATATTGAACCGCAACAGATCCAGCCATGTCTTGATGACCTCACCAGTGCCTGCACCTCTGGTGACAGCAGCCTGCCCCAGCCATGAACACTGATTCCCTGGAAGCTCTCCATTTAGTTCTCAAGTTCCCTTGCTACAAGGATCACTTAGCTAAGGAGGGCATTACCAGCACCAAGGGTCTCAGTGGCCTTCAGGAATGACTTGAGGACCCCAAGGTCTTGGAGATGGTATCCCACTCAGCTCTGTTAAGGGGGCCACTGATTCCAATCTCCCTGAGGAAGGCCATCTCATGGATGGCCATCTGTTGCTCAACCAGCCTTTTGAGCATCAGCTATGTGGAGTTCCACCAGGTCTGTACATCCTGCATGATTCTGTGCTGCAGGACGCTCAGCTCTGCCTGTTTGTCACACATCATCTTGCCCTCCACTTTGTCCCTACCTTTCCCTCACTGGTCCAGGATGGCCTGCCTCTGCTTCAGGGGGATGGGGCTTTGGAGCAAGAGAGGGACTTCCCTTTGGGCATGCTCCCACTGGTACCAGGCTGAGGAGGGGCAGGGGCAAAGGGATGGTGTGTCCTGATATGCATCAGCATCCCTGTGGTGCTGACAAGCATCCTTGCCCTGGCTGGTTTTGCATCACCAGTACAGGCAGATAGCATACTTGGGATATTTGCTACCTCAAAATGATCCCACACCATACTACTCCCTCACTTCTGAAGTATGAGTGCAGATCCTGCCTTATCCCCCTCCTCAGCAGGCAGAGGCACAACAACAGGAGGAGCTGACTCAGCTGAACCACTTGCCTCCACAGCCTCAACCCCCTTCGAAGTACCTTCCAGAAAAGTAGACCTGGCTCTAGAGGAACTTTGAGAGGTTTGGAGCACAAACTCAGATTCCTTCTCCTTCCCCAGAATTTCCCTGGCTATGGCACTGATCTCCCCTGGTTCCAGATCCAGCTCCTGTCATTCAGTATCATGTCTTCTTCAAGTTTGTCACATATGTATGCGTGCGTGTAAAATATCTTCTATCTGTTTACTATATCTTCTATGTCTTTACTATATCTTCTTCTATCTGCCTACTATATCTTCTATCTATAATATATTGGAAAGGTGTATCCAATCCTTTCCAAAAAGAGAGACTCGGAAGAGACTGACTAGGAAGCCAGTCACTGCAGCTTCCAAACAGACAGTTCACAAAAGGCAGAGAAAGGCTTCACACAGAGCCTTATATGCTGTTTCTCCATCCCTCCCCCAGAGCACTGGGATTGGAAGGGACCTCAGGGACAGATCACAGACACTGGCCAGCTACAGATGTCAATATCAGAGCAGTCTTCCCCCCCTCCACACACACACACACACACACACACACACACCACTTCCCCCTCTGAGTTTCGGTTTCCCCATAAGTCCACCTCTGAAACATCCAAAACATCCTTCTGAAACATCCAAAATGTTTTGGATGGTTTCATTTCTTTTTGGAGATGTTTCAGAGCCTTCCCTTTCATTTTGGATTTGGTGTTTCCATGGACCAGTACTGTTCAATATCTTCATCAGTGATTTGGATGAGGGTGTAGAAAGCTCTCTGTCTAAATTCACAGATGACACCTAGCTATGGGGTATAGTAAACACACTAGAGGGTAGGGCGTGAATTCAGGTGGATTTGGACAGACTGAGGAATGAGTGGATCAGAATAGGATTCAATTTAACAAAAGTAAGTTCAAAGTGCTGCACCTGGGGAGAAAGAATCACCAATAGACCTATAGACTGGGAAGTACCAGTTCAAGTAGCACAGCACATGAATGACCAGATCATCGGCTTCTCTGCCTCTCGATCTCCTGACTCTTGCCCCAGCCTTCTTCCCCAGCTTGCCTCCCAGCTTCTCTGCCTCCCAATCTCCTGTTCTGCTCAAGCTTCCAGCTTTCTCCACCACTCCGCTCCACTGCCTCCCTATCTCCTGGCTCT